TTTTTTTTAATAAAATAAAGATATAATAATTTTTAGGTTAAAAATTCAATTTGGTCCCTTTACTTTGACAAAAAGTCTCATTTTAGTCCCTATACTTAAAAAAACCGCTTTCAATCTCTAAAGTTTAAGATTCGACTCCTTTTTAACTCCTCCGTTAAGTTTTGATATTAAATTAGAGAAATTTCAAAATAGAGTGACAAAAAAAGGGGTTTTTTGACAAAGTAGATAGACCAAAAGGAGCTATAATAGCCTCTTTTTGGTCCCTCTATTTTAAAATTTTTATCATCTAACATACCACGTATACAAAAATTAACAGAAAGATTAAAAAGGGGCTGAGTTTCAAATTTTAAGGATCAAAAAGGAGTTTTTTTAAGTAGAGGGACTAAAAAAGAGCTTTTTATCAAAATAGAGGGACCCAAATGGGATTTAACCTAATTTTTATGAGAAAATTTTATATTTGCACTATTTAAATAAGATTTCTTATTTAATATATTGTAATTATCTTTCAAAATAAGGATAAAATAAGAATGAATGCATTAAATTATATTCTAAAAAGAAAAAAATGGAGAATTAAATTTGAACACCCTAAATAAAAAATTACATCTACTAAAATTGAATGAATGGAGTATTTTAAGATGTTTGTATTCTCAAAGTAAATTTCTTATTTTCTAATCTTAATGATATAAAGTTGCTATGAAAACGATAAACTTTTACTAAAGTTATTAAACAAATACCAAATAAACTTATGAGTTAGAAAAAAAAAAAGCGCCTCAATAAATACTTAATAAGCTTTTTTTTTAAAATTAACTATATAAAATTACAATAATAACAAGATTTTTCCTAAATTTCTCAAATAAATACTAATGAACTTTTAAAAAAAAATAATAAATACTCAATGGGTTTTTAAAAAAATTCTCAATAAATATTCAATAAACTTTTTAATAAAATACTTATTAAAAAGTAATTCAAATTTAATATAAGAGATGTAGGACTCACAAATTGGACAGTGATATATTTACCCTCTCCCATTACACACTTTGTCACACCATTGCATTGTCTGTTACTTAATCTGTCACTCTCCATTACTACTAGCCCAGCCTTTTCTTGCTCTCTCTACTTTTGAGCTCTCTATCTATAGATCTTTTTCCTCCTCCTCCTTTCTTTTTCTTCTTTTTTCCTTTCTTCCCCTCTTCTTCCTTCTCTTTTGGGAACCCAAATCTGTGTTCCCTTTGGAGAACCAGATCTGGGTGGGTTCTCCTTGGAGAACCCGATCTGAGTTCTCTTGGAGAACTTGTGGGTTCTCCTTAGGGAACCTAGACCTGGGTTCTCCCAAAGAACCATCTAGGTTCTCTTGGATAGCCCAGATGGAAGAGAGAGAAAAAAAAAAAAAAAGAGGAAGAAGATAATGATGAATTTTTATAAATTTTTGTTAGAATTTTAACAAATTTGATGTTGGGCCACCCAATAAAAAAGATGTGTTGTTTGGTTGATAAGAAATTAGAATGCGGATGGAGATGAGGAGGAAGATGGATCTAGTGAGGACAGTGAATAGCAAGATGGAGGAAAGAGGAAAAAAAAAAAGAGGAAGAAGATAATAATGAATTTTTTTTTCAATTTTTTGTTAGAATTTTTACAAATTTGATGTTTGACCACCCAATAAAAAAGATGTGTTGTTTGGTTGATAAGAAATTAGGATGAGGAGAGAGCTGAGGAGGAAGATGAATCTAGTGAGGATAGTGAACAGCAGGAAGGAGAAAAGAAAGGGGAGAGAAAGAAAAGGCTATACTGGTTATCATTGGAGTTAATGGAAGAAACGAAAGAGAGTGAGTGTGTAATAGAGTGTGTGTACGGAGAGTGTGAGTGTATCATTTTCCCTCATAGATTACTTCAATCTTAAAGTGCTTTTTAATATATATATATATATTTATGTGAAAATGTAAATATCAATCATAAAGTAATCTCATGAGTTACATAGAAACAAGAATAAAAGATATGGAGCTACCTACGATCCTAATCCAAATCCTCTCACCCTTTATATTAGGAGCCAAACAAGCTAAATTTTGAGCCATTGCATTCACCTCCCTCCTTACATGAGAGAAAATAAAATAATCAAAGATTTAGAGAAGCCTATGCAATTCAACACAACACAAAATAGATGCATAGGATCTCATCCTTTAGGCACCTTTGCCATTGCTTGTAAAGAGTCACTTTCAACAATTATTCCATGAAAGCCTATATCCATTGCAAGACGCACACCATATACATTGCTAGAAAGTCAACCTTTAATGCTAAGTGACACCCTTCCATGACTTACACCTATTGTAATAAATCGTTCCTGCAACATCCCTAATAACAGCTCTACATCTCAACAAACTACTAGTAGCCAACCAAGAAGCGTTGGTATAAACCTTGTGAATTCCTTCAGCCTGTGGTTGCCAAACCATTATATATAGGTCATTTGTTTGCCTACCCTCAACACCCTTCTGGCTCTTCTTCTCAACATATATAAGCTTGTTAATCAAAGATTTCACCCTTCTAAGAGTAGTATGGACTGTATCACAGGAAAAATCATAGATACACATAATTTTATTCTTTCATATGACCCATTGAAATCACCAAGGCCTACCCCATGCACTTGCTATTTTAAAGAGACCAGTAACTCCCATGTTTCTACTCTCAGGTTTGTATCAAGGTGTCCGTAGAAGCCTACTAAACTCTAGGGATTCTTAGATGCTACTGCGCTATCAGTGCCAATATGAGATTTTCATATGAGGAGTCCACTCTCAAACCCATTCCAACCTCCTAGAATAATGCCATCCCTCATCTCTTTCGAACACAATCCAGCGCCCATACTTCATCAAGACCTAATCTCATCCTAATTTGATTCATCTTTGTTGCTCGTCACTTAGTCTCAAAGAGAAATAAAATATTAGGCTTGCATTTGTCAATTAAGAGAGACTTGCATGTAAGGTTATCTTGTCTCCTACTCCTTTACATTTCCATGCCAAAACCTTCGTACTTGAAACCATCAGATAAGAGTTCAATCAAACTGAACAATCTAGAACCAAACCACAGAAGAAACACCACAAAACTCCCATTGACACATCAAAATAGCTAACTCAGGTTGGAATCCTAAATAAAAAAAACCTAGCTGTCAGAAAGATAGTTAAAAAACTCATCTAATCAATTCTTTCTGTGAGAAATGTAGATTCTTTTATTGTGTAAATTTTAAAACCTATAATTTAAAAAAAAAATATAATAGCAAATTAATAACAAAAAAAATCAAAAGTTTAAGAAAAATGTAAAAATCAGGATGTACTAATATTTTAGATACCAAAACTCCTTAGGAAATAATTTAAAAAATCTTAATATTTTAATTATGTGGAAGTTTTGATTTTTTGCAATTCCAAAATTTTATTTTATAAAAAAATTTTCCTCATTAACTGCAATAATTCAATTCTCATTAAAGTTTTGGAAAGTTGATTTTAGGAAATTAAGATAGAATAGGAAATTGATCATTACGATATATTCAACCTTCAATAGGAAATGGTTAGATGTCATTTTAATCTCTAAATTTTTAAAGCGCATTTTTTATCGTTCAAACAACAAAAAATATTTAAAAAAATCTCAAAATTAAAAATATTTAAAATTAAAAGTTTAAGCGTTAAAAAAATGACATTTAACCATAAGAAATTAAGTAATCTAGTTTTATAAAACTTTAAATTAATATGCTTAGATCTTATTTCATATTTACCATTCAAATATTGTTGTGAATTATTACATTTAAAATTAATCATTATTAAAAAAATAATTTAATATATTTTTAATTTATTATTAATTCAAAATTTATAATTAATAAACATCTAATAAAATCTAATACTAAGGAACCGTGCAAAGTGC